CTGCTGTTTGTACATAGATCAGGGAGTTTATTTGCCGAACGGATCAAGGAGGACAGTTTCCTCTTAGCGCAGTGAGGATTACGATGCATTAGCATACTACGGACGCCTTCGACAGCACTCTGTGATTTTCGTGACAATTCTAGTCAAATTCTTATAAACAAATATGGCGACGATCGATAACGCGCACAAGTTTGACTACGATGCTGAAACTGCTAATTACAACTGTAATTCGTTTCCCTCATGCATGTCGTCTTTTATTTACAATGTATTGCAATATATTGATGTAATGACAGTACCAGGGCTCGCTGCCGTTTTTTTTTTGGTCTCCTCGTGTTTCGAGTCTACCGTGCAGTGGTTACATTCAGAATTTACCAGCATAGAACCCGCATCCGAGATACATGTACTTTGTCGTAGCTACGTGCGGGGTTCAGGGTTTTTGCGTGAAAGTGTGTTTTTTCCTGGAGTTCTGAGGCCTGAGATTATCTTTCAGAGCCATCAAAATTGCTGAGACTGACCGCGTCACAGCAAGGTCGCGCGTCCAGTAAACAAATCGGTTAAAGTGAGTTGCATATTTTGCATGAGTGGAAAGTGCTCACACAGGCACAGGCACGTGTTCGGTGAGTGTCCAGGTCACAACTTAGTGACTACTTCAGGCCTTGGGGAACTCACCTCATGGGGGAAGGGAGCGCCCCCCCTCGCAACTGCCGAACACATGGCCACATATCCCTGTCGTTCACAGATTGCGCCGGTGTAGTCCGGTTTGGAGACGGCCGGTGGCCGATACCTGGACCTTTCCAGGTGGTGACATCTGTTTACGGGATACCGCTGAAATCTCCATTTCCCCCCGTCAGTGTCTCCCCTGTTGGGCACTGCCAGGGGACTCCCGCAAGGCGGAAGCAATCAGACAGGAAGTAGCAGTTTGCTGGGGAAAGACGCCATACACGGGGTACATCAGCCGGAACTAAGTCCAGGCTTCTACCCAAATGTGTTCGTAGTACCAAATCTACAAGTGGCGGGCGTCCAGTTTTGGACCTAGACAGACTGAATCAGTACGTGCTCCTCAATCGGTTCCACATGGAGATACCATTCAGGGTTCTTCTCTCCATCCACCGTTTTGACTGGCTAGCCCCGCTAGACTTAACTAGTTTCCACTTCTGTCGGAAACGATAGTCGAAACACCAGCAGTGCTTCTGGACTTACCGGACCTGCCGTCCCAACCAGACGGTGCACTACCACGAGCCCAGCGGGTATCACTTACACGCATAGAGGCCCTCATTAGACCTGCACATATGAAAGCTCCAGGGCGAACAGGGATTCCACCAATGCAGCCTGCATTTCTAGGCCGCGAGCATACACTGGTTAGTGTAGCGGAAGGGAGATTGATCGATACCATCCCTCTATTGGCCAGGTAGCAGGCTCCTTCGTCCACCTGTTTGACGAAGTGGGTTTGTCCTACGCAACATTCGTTGGCTACAGGTCAGCCTTGTTCCCCACCATTCAAACATACTTGAACAAGACTAACCGATTGTCCTATTATTAGGAGACTATTTACTGCTTTCCAGACGCTGAGACCCCATACAAGGGAACCGCCCAACTGGGACTTGTCGGCTGTGTTGTCCGCCCTAAGCAGACTGCCCTTTGAGCCTCTCCGATCAAGCACCACTCAAATTTTTGACATGGAAAATAGTCTTCCTGCTGGTCCTTGCCTCAGGTAGGCATTGGCCAGAGCTGGGGGGCATTGTCCTTCTCGGATGATGTACCGCTGTTATGGACAATCAAGTTGTGCTAAAGACGCGAATTGGGTTTCTCGCCTAGAACCAAATACGAGGACACGATCCTCACCCAATCGTCATCCCCGGGCTGGCAAATATTGTCGGTCTAGAGGATCAGGAGGAATTGCTTCTCTGCCCAGTCCGAGCGCTGAGTTGCCACGAGAACCATACCAGGTTTCCAGACGGGGAACCAAACACATGTTTTTGTGTTACGGCCCTGGCAAACAGGATAAGCCGGCTTCCCCGACTTCCATCTCCAGGTGGATTACTGCAACGGTACTGGAGGTCTATAATATACTATCCTCCTCAACACAGACCTTGCAGAGACACCAAGTACGAGCACATGAGGTCCGTGCGATTGCTAACTCACAAGCGCTAGCGTCAGGTGCCCCCCTCAGACACATTCTGAGGGCAGGCTTCTGGAGAACGTAGAACGTCTTCATCAACTACTACCCAAGAGACACCCAATCTATTGAGCAGGGTCTCTTCAGGTTAGGCCCCGTCGTAGCGGGTCAGGCCTTGTTTGCTGACCCAGCCCGAACGACCGCAGGGGCCTCTGCGCATAGGTGATAAGTCAGTCTCGACATTTTTGTGGGCAGATTGTCTGTACCA